TACTTTCAGGTTGTAGCCATAGACACTACCATATTGAAAATGAGAGAGGGAAGTACTATCATTTCTTTCAAGGAAAGAAACACCAGGAGTAAAAGGAATTTAAATTTCTTACTGGTACTGTCCTATTGCAACCCTGCCAGCTCTTTAAACAGCTTCCCTGCTGGCTTTTGCTACAGCTCCGCCAGTTCTTGCTGGAGCTGAGCACCCAGGCAGAGCCTCTTACTTTCACCTCCGCTAAACACTGACTGCCTCTTAAGATGTATTATGTCCTGGGGCTTCAGAGCCTCTGCTTGAGGTTGTCACACCTCAGATGGCGCAAGTATTTTTGTGACACTTTTTACACTTTGTACACAATGCCATTGTAACTTGTTAAGCAACAGCTCTGCCTTGGCAGGGTTTGTTTTTGCTGTTTGCCTGGCGCACCCTCTCCCAGGCAGCCACTGCCTCTCTGCATGTAACCAGGTAAATGCTGAATTTTTCAGGGGTTACACAATTAACAAAATGGATTTTAACATCCCTACTCCAGATGGGGGCGAGGGCTCCGGGATGGGACCAGGGATGAAGGATTTGGGGCTCCAGGCTGGGGCAAGGTGATTGACTTGTGGGGCTTGGTGAGGGTTCCATCTCAGGGTACAAGCTCCGGGGTGAGGCCCGGAATGAGCATTGGTGAGCAACCTACAAGCCACCGGAGCCCTGCACTTCCTACCCCTTACCCTCCCTCCTAGCACTTTCGGAGCACCACAAATCCACTGATTAGCTCTCCATTCCCACTCCTCCCCATCCCTCCCAGAGCTTGAATGCTGGAAATCAGCTGTTCATGTTCTGGGAGGGAGAGGAAGGAGTGGGGATGGGGCACAAATCAGCAGATTGATGGTGCTCTGAAAGTTCTGCGGAGGTGGGGGAGGAATAGAAAGTGTGGGGCGCCAGTGCCTCAGCATGTGAGAGGTGTGGGGGAAGGGGGCAGAGAGGGTCTGTAGGTGAAACTGCAGTGGACCCTGGACTTGCCCACCACTGCAGCTCACTGAGACAAAGGAGAGCCACTCATGTGGCCCACTCAGTAGTCTTGGTTGCCCATCCCTGTAGCAATGAGAAAGAAGAAAAGGCCAGAACAGGGAGAAGCTTCAAAAACAGCCATGAATACATGAACATAGGAGGTAGCCAGTTCTGTGACAATAAATTATTGTACAGGTTGAACCTCTCTAATCTGGCACCCTTGGAATCTGACCAAACCAGAGAATTTACTGAACCACAGGAGGTCAATATTGTCTAGCAGCATTACCAACAATTCTACTGCTATTAGAAGACATTTAGGGGTAAACTAGAGCTAAATAGCAGCCCAGAACACTGAGAGCCAGGACTGGTGGCTGTAAACAAACTTTATAGGACCATGGGAAATCTGATCACATCCATGATAAGTGAGTATGTGGCTAACTAAAATCATGCCAGACCACAGGTGTTGCCAGACAAGAGAGTGCCAGACTAGAGAGGTTCAACCTGTAACATGATGGGCCTATTTGAAATCATGGGATGGTGGGCGGGCTTCGCCCACCCACCTTCTAAAAGCCCCTCCCCAACCTTATGGGAGGGACACTGGACCCATGTCCAACTGATTGCTTGGGACAAATAATGACTAAAGGATCAAGAAGTGCGGGCTAGAGGTTCAAAATAAGGGAGCCGGATGGGGACACCGAGCAGAGAACCCCGGACAGTGCCCACTGCTCCTCAAAGTTGTCGATGGAGCCAGTGGACGCCACCCAGAGGAACTCTGCCCAGATTCGTGACATGAGAGAAGAGCGGAAATAGGCCCCACAGTCGCAGAGAACCCCCTCGTCTAACCTCCTCCTCCTGCTATTGTAGATGGCAACTTTCGCTAAGGCCAGGAGGAGGTTGACGAGGAGGTCTCGCGACTTTGTGGGGCCACGGATTGGGTGTGCGTAAATAAAAAGGTGAGGGGAAAAGTGCAGCCAGAACCTCAATAAGAGGTTCTGGAGGAGCCGGAATAGGGGCTGCAACCTGGCGCATTCGAGGTAGGCGTGGGCCAGGTTCTCCCTCACGCCGCAAAAGGGGCAGGTGTCTGGGATTGGGGTGAACTGCGCCAAGTACACGCCCGTGCTCACGGCCCCATGAAGGAGCCGCCAGCTGATATCCCCAACGGGCCGCGGAATTAAGGTCGAATAAACGCTGGCCCATCGGGGTTCCCCACCCTCTATAGGTCTGAGATAGTGCCGCCACTTTGTATCGGGGCGGGACACAAGGGTGGGGAAATGCAAAGCGTGGAGCACGAGCATGTACAGCTGTTCCCTGGGTGCGGTCCGGAAACAGACCGGCTGCTGTAACATGATGGGAGCATGGCAACCCATCGCTTCCAATATGCTCCCTGACATGCAACTGAATTGGCATTTTGATAAGAAAAGAGTTAATCTATGCTTCAGGTGTGGTCTGATGTAAAGGAATCTGCCCAGGAACACAGTGCATATGCAAAACAACTATGGTTATATACCTCTGAAATCTGTCAGGGGTCTTGTGCTCACTGACATGTTGAACAATTTATGAAAAAAATAAAGGAGGCCTGGATTCAGTTTCCAGTTCTCGAGCCAAGCTTATCCAGATGTAAAATCTTAAGTTCTGGTCTACAATAGAGAGTTACCCTTATTTCGAAATAAGTGCAGCATCCACACTACCAAGCCTGCTATTTCGAAGTAACACGCTGGTTATTTTGAAATCTGTACTCCTGCTTTTCTTGAGGAATAAGCTTATATCAAAATAGTTATTTCGAATTTAGTTATTTTCGAAATAATTTCCTAGTGTAGACATGCCCTAAGTGAGCACCAGGAGTGGATTTGACCTTCTTCTACCTGCTTAAGGCTAGTGATGGATTTAGCCCTTATTCCCCTTGATTTCAGTGCATGTTTGAGTGAGCTTTTAGCCCCGATGACCAGCAGCAGTAGGCAGTCCCTCATCTCAGTCAATGACAAGCTTCTTCAAATAATGAAAGAGATTCATTTCATGGGATTTGCTGTGTATTCTATCCAAGGCCTCCAGGGCTAAGTGAACTATGGCTATAGAAGAGACCTGGATTGTGTGGCAGGGGTAATGATAGAAGGAATTCATGATAAGAGGTGAACCCGCAGGACAGTTATTGCAAGGAGACCCTTAGTTCCACACCCTCCTCATAACCAAAATCTTTGTGTTAATAGCAGTTTGTGCACAAGACACTGTCATTTCCTCAGGTGGTTTTGTTTCCTCTCATGCACTTACACAGCACATTTTCCGTGGGTTTTGTAATCAGCATCTGATTTCTACACCATTTATTGTGGAGTAATATTACTTGGCTATTGAATTTTTTCTAAAAAGTTTGTTCTAAAACTAATTTAAGAGCTCCAAATAGAATTGCAAACATCCACAAATAAATAGTGTGTGTGCACCAAAGGACATATGCTGCTCTCTTCCACTTTCATCCATTTTTGCTTATACTTCATTTCCTCACATACAAGCAAGAGGCTCCTATTGAAGTCAAAAGGATGCTGCAAAAATGTACCCAAAGGCAGAAATTGGCCCATTGCTGTTAGATGTTTGACTTGATAACATCAAGACATTGAATGGTGTCTGGCTCTTTTGTTTCTCACATTTGGTAGCATAAGATATTCAACTTTGATTATGTTTCATTGTCTCCAATAAGTGCAAACATTTTACAACATCCTGCCTTGAATAAACATCCTCATTTAGCCAAATGAGCAGTAAGCAATAGCATCTACACAGAATGTGGATGACCACCTGTTCCTTCTCTCCCACCTGAGTACTGCAGAGCCTCAAGGAACTGTGAATTGGCTAATGTAGCCTAGGTCTCATTTCAAAAGATTACCAATGGCTGGGCTTGTTCTGTAGTCCATAGTCCAATAA